GCTGAGCAGCTGCATAGAAACAACTTAACATTTTATATGAAATAAATATTTATCTACAAATATTTATCTATCAAATCAAATTATTTCAGGCCAATTTTAACAAATAATTAACATGAATAAATGATTTGACATCAATTACAAACCAAATCATATTATACCATATAAACACTTAAAAGCAAATAAATCAATTTGGAAAATTTAATACACATATATTATTTAAAAATTATGGTAAAAATATTTTAAATATTAGATTAAAAAGTCTTAAATGTTGTTTTTTAAATTTCTTTTACTTAATTAAATATTAAAAATATATCTATAAGCCTTTTTTAAATATAATTTCAATATTTTAATAATTGATTAAATAAATAAATTATTATTACTTGATTTTTTTTTAGCATTTTATTAAAAATCATTTTAAATTATTATACGATATATTGTATCTATATGATATGTTGCATTATTTGTACGTATATTGGATTACAATTTGTGTATATTAACTTTTGCCATATCGATTTAATTAAATATTATAATTGCATTGCAATTTATGGAAATTAGATATTTTCTTTTTATTACTATTGATTTTATTCTAATGGTATTCATGATTATACAAATAATAATTTTTTTTTTTAAATCATAAGCTTTTTTATAATATTTCATTAAATCGGGTTTTAACATTGTTTGATTCACTTATAGTTCTTATTTATAATCTTAATATTATCTCACTTAATAAAATTTAATAAGCTTTTTTATAACTTTTTGTTATTTTAATAATCTATGTTTGTTTAAATTAATTTTGTTATAATTTTTATTTTTGTTTGTATGATTACCTTTTAATAATCTTCTTTCCTTATTGTATTATTTAAATATTTAATCTGATATTTTTACCTTGGTTTTCTTTTAATGCTCAGAACTGTACTTCTACAGTCTACAATTACATTGCCAACCCTCTGCGTAACATTTTTGAATTTAACTAAATAAATGTTGTTGCAGCACAATTCCTGTACCTATTCAAGTGACTTTATGTATCAAGCCATTGTGCTATTTGAGTAAATATATTTGTCAGAGTTTTGTGCAGGCAACTCGAATACACTGCACAAATTTGTCTGGCGTGCACTTTCAATATACATAGACACATATATAAAAGTGCTTGTCTCTGTGTGTAAGTGTGCGTGTATATATGTATGTGTGTGGCATCAACGAAGATTGATGACACTGCTTGTGTGCAACATGCAGCTACTTAAGCAGCTCGCACTCGTAAGTTAGTTGCTGCAGGACCAACATTTATTTAGACTAAGATCGACCTTATTTTGTTGTAGCTGATGGTTTCTGTTTAATGAATTTTTAATATGCTTTCCTTTTTGTTGTTTTGTTGTTTTCAATTAAAAGAGCTCAAACGAGCACAATGCAAACATTTGTTTACACGCACAAGCTAATTTTTTGTGTGCTGCCGGGCGTATACTTGATATGCATGATATTTTTCTCGAATTTGTTTGCATTTCTCATTCTCTCACTGCAGAGCGTCAGTTCTAAGGCGATTAGGTGCGCACCAGCTGTAGCTCTCTGTCTGCACAAGAGACGTATGCAGTGCGAGGGAAACTCAAATAAATGGCTTCATATTTTATGCCTTCATTCAAATCAAATTGTTGTAGAATTTAGAAAGTTCTTCATATCAATTAGTTATGCTCATTCCTTATTTAACAGCTACCACATTCATTTCAGTTGCGTGCATGTGTGTGTGTGTGTGTCGAGTAGTGCAATTTGCATAAATTATTCATTTGCATTTTGCAATCAGCTAAGCGAAATATTAGCACAGCGTTAACTGCAATGCAAATGCATTTGTAAATTAATAATTAGCTACAAAGAAAATGAAATGCGCACAGCTCACTGGCAGACAAAACTCTCACAGCATTCATTGTAATGTTCAATAATTAAATCATGGATTTGCTTCCAGGCTTCAAACTCTGTGTTGTAGTTGGGCCCAAATAAATAAATTGAACATTTGGAAATGAGCAAATCATTTGGATAGCTACAAGAAATCCGGCACAGACTGGGCTATAATTAAATATTAAATATGTGCAGCAGCTAGACACAAAGGACCACCATGCACCACAACAACAACAATCACACACGCAAAACTTATTACTTTTAGCTGGCAGTGTGTGGGTGTGCAGTATAAATAGGAATGTGGCCAAAATACCTGCTTTGCTGTGTTACCTGTTTGAGTTGGAGTGTCTGTGCGTGCACAGCAGTTCATACATAATTCATTGCATTCATTTAACTCTCGCACATGCACTGCGCCCCATCACTGCGCCCATTCACTGCTTTACTTCTTCATACAGTCACACCCAGACGTAAATGTACTTCAAAGCCTTTTCACTCATTAACACCTTGGTTGCACTCTTGAGGCTAGCTTGATTCAACAGGCAGAACAACTGTACGTGAAGGGTAATACATATATGTATATCAATATCAATTTTATTTTATAAAAATATAGAAATACAATGAAAAAAGTTATTAATTTATTTTTGTAGTTTTAATATATCCTCTTTCATTTTCTTTTAAAATTAAAAGTCTAATTATAAATACTTTGGCAATTTTTATACCTCTTCAAAATAGCAAAAGCTGTAGCTGTAATTTTATCTGTCTCTCTATATATCTACTCTGCTTTTTCTTTTTTCTCTCTCACTTCGAATCTGATTGGTGATGAATGGACGTTAAGAGAAGCATAATTGAAGAGATGATGAAATAGATCAAGTTATTTCTTCTATGCTATTTATTTCTGCACATATTTCTTTCATATATGTCATCAGTTTAATAAACTTTTCCCTGTCTCTTTAACTTTTCGCATTCACAAACTCTCTTTATATATTTGTCGCAGGGTATTTTGAGAGCGGATAATTAGGCTGCATAAACTTTATCTTTGCCTCTAGCTCATTGCGGCTCAACTGCGCCCAGCCGAGGGTGTGAGCAGAGCAGAGCAAACCCAACAGTTTTCCAACTCACAGTGTCAATTTGCAGGAGGCAAAAGAAAGCAGCACACACACACACTGACACACGCAAGCATACACACACACAAACAGCAAGCAGGCAAAGTAGCGACTGTTGCAATGTTTGTCTAGTGACAGAGCGCGTGTGTGTAAGTCTGAGTGTTTGTGTGTGTGTGTCAGTCTAAGTGCGAGTGCGAGCGCAAGTGTGAGTGTGTGCATGTGCTTGGCATAATTAACATAATTACTATTATTGTCCCGTTGTTGATTTTGTTTTACATATATTATTTTACATCATGTGCTTTTATTTCGCTCTGTATGCAAATGGTTTTTTAGTTTTTCCATTTTCCTTTTGCGCTCGCTTTTCGCACATTTTCATTATGTGGCCGCGCAGGGAGAGAACGGACTCTTGTTGTTGTACAGCGCTAATGCGCAATTAAAATGGGAACGAAGCATAATTTATGATATTATGATAGTAATTTATTCAAATGAGTCGAAGTCGCGATAAACTATTGTTTTTAATTATTATTACTTTTGTTTTTAATTTTTTAATTTTTGCAAATAAAACTTTGATTTCAACAAATGTTCAAATAAAATATTAATGCATGCATATGCAATGCGAGCATGTGCACTAATTAAATACACAGGAATTCCAAAAAGTATTCATAACACTTATTCATAATGCTATAAATATGCATAAATTGAGTGCATTTTATTAAAAATAATTGTTGAAATGGGTTTAATAAAGAAACTATTATATTATTTGAATAAATGAATCGAATATGAATGAATCAAAATACATATTTATGTGATTGTAATTGAATTGAATTAAATAATCAACTATAATTTAATATCAGCAAGTAAGAAAGCTCTAGTCGAGACTGCTCGACTTCGAGATCCCCTGAACCCTTGGAGTAATAGCGATTTCAATCATTTTTCGCGTCTTTCAGCTTACACAAGAAACACGCAGACGCAGACACACACACACACACACACACACACACACACACACACACACACACACACACAAGCATAAACACGCATGGGCGCAGTGTGCGCTTACTATGAGAACTTAATTGTTTAAAAACTTTTTTTTGTGGACATACGATCTTCATGAAACTTTTAGATTATGATTATAACATGGATGCGTGTATTTGCCAAAGCACAAGTCTCTAGTATTTGAAATACGCTTTTTACAAAAGTGAGGGTGAGGGAGTGAATATAGGGGTGGGGGGTAAATTTTTACAAAAACTGAAATTGTATAAATTGCATATAAGCATACATTAAAAATTTGGAGACTCTAGCAATAAAGGCGTAGAAGATATAATTTTAAACCTGGTTTTCGATAAGGTTTTTTATCGATAAAAGAAGATCGGGATGAGTTATCCATTTTTAATGATAAACTCGATATCCGCGCTGTAATTACGAACATTTAAAACAAAATTGAAGTCTCTAGCTCTTATATCTTCTGAAATCGACGCTTTAATACATACGGACAGACGGACGGACAGACAGATGGACAGGGCCAAATCGATTCAGCTCGTCACCCTGATCAGGAATATATATATACTTTGTGGGGTCTGCCACGCCTCCTTCTGCCTGTTACATACATTTTAACAAAACCATTATACCCTGATTTCCCATTGAAAATGGGTTCAGGGTATAAAAATCATCAGCTTAAAAATACAAATTGATTTCCTTAAGCAAATCCATTACCAAAATTCTAAAAAAATCAGTCTCGCAAAAAAAAAAAATGCAAATAAAAAGTATAATTCATGCAGCCCGCCACCTAATGGTCCGCTAAGTGGATAAGCCCCGACATCGACCCCAAACTCGATCCCGAGCTCGAGCTCGACCTCTGTCGCTGCTGAAGAAGCGATCCAAAAACGTGATTAATTGAAAAGCAATTAACTAGCACGCCTACCACCCACCGCCTAACGGCAACCACAGCGCACCACTCAGCTAAGCGTGGCGCTTATTAGGCGCGTGTTTCGAATAGAATGGATACAAAGGATTACAACTAAGCTGCAGGCTTATGCCCACGCATGATTAGTTATGGTCAGCAACAACGGTGGGTGGCGGGGCAGCGTGGTGGGCGTGGCCGTGTACGGCTCATTGAGAACGCGGCGCGACACTCTCTCGTATATTTATCGAATCATTAAGCACAAATGAATCACAGCCCAGGCCGGCTGGCTATTGAAGATGCCAGCGTAAATTAAATTAGGACCAAACCTCGAAACAAGATAATGGACAGCAGCAGCAAGAGGAGCAGCAGGAGCAGCAGCAACAGCAGCTATAGTAAAAGGCATTAGCGCGCATTGTGGTGCGATTAAAATGAACTGGTGCACCACACTCGCACCACACTCAATAATTCAATAAATTGATTGACTCACCGACGTTGGCGCAGGCAATTGAGCAGAGCATCGTCCTCCTCGTGGCCAGCCAGCGGACAGTCGAGGGACTGGGCTATTTGCATGGTCAATTGCAGGGACTGATTGCTGGCGGCCCAGTCGGACATGGCCGAGCCGGACATGAGAATGGCGCGATGGAATAGACCTACATTTAAATGCCATTATAATCAATGGGCAGCTGGCTGGTTTGATTTTTGGGCGTGGCACTTACCTGATGCTACCGGCGAGACCATTAGGTAATTGACGCAGGCGGCGCCGGTGCTGTGGCCCATGAGCGTGACGCGCGTGTTGTCCCCACCGAAGGACGCGATGTTCTCCTTGATCCAGTGCAGCGCCGCTATCTGATCGAGCAGCGCATAGTTGGCTATATTATGAGCATCGATGCCCGGACGCATAAACCCTAAAGCATATCGTGACAGGCAATTAGCACACTGTCCATTAGGGCCGACTGGGGCGGCGCCACGCCCAGACTACATACCTAAAACGCCGAGCCGATAGTTGACAGTGACCACAATGACCTCCCCGTAACTGGCCAGAACGGAGCCATCGTAGGCATTGCCGCTGTTCCACTCAAAGGACTCGCCATGCAAATAAACAAGCACGGCGTGCTGCTTGGTCCCTGCCCCGGAGTCTGCAAGGGGAGAGAGAGAGAGGGGAGGAGGATGTCATGCCTTTAGTTTCTGGATTTGCTATGTGCATCATTAAGTTACCTGTGTGCGGCACGTACACGTTCAGATACAAGCAGTCCTCGCTCTCCGTTTTCAGATAGGGCATCAGTCGCATCAAGTGCCTGTAGCGGCCCTGTGACATGTTTACACTGCTCGGCCCGGACACATCCGGCAGTTTTTGTGGACAAACCGGCGGCAAATGACGCGCGATTTTCAGGCCCTGCCATGGCAAGGGCGCACCTGTAAGGGTAAGCCAAGCGGAGGGGAGCAACGCCATTAGATAAGCTAAAACAAACTTTCATAAAGCACTTTTTCACCAGCACTCGAGCTAAACTAGCAGCAGTCAACAGCACAGTGTGCCGACAACTAACAATAACTGGGTGAAAATTAAAATAAAATATGTATAATAT